GAATACTGTAACGTTAACATCTGTAAAAAGAATTAAACTTAAAAAAAAATACCTCTAAAACTGTAAAAAAAAATAAAAAAAAACTTAATAAAAATGCAAAAAATTGAAGACTGTAATGTTAAAAACTATATAAAGAAAAACAGTGAATAACATACATTTCAAACTGCAAAATAAAATAAAAATTAATAAATGTAAATAAAAAATAATGTAAATTCATTTATATAAATACAGCTTTTTGATGTGAAAATTATTTATAATTATTCATAGTTTCTACCCATGATTTTAGTCGATATTTTCTGTAATTAAAACACAGAAAATCTGTAAAATAACAGTTAAAAAATATATATACCAAAAAACATTATATTTTGCTGATTTAAATACAGTAAAAAAAAAAGCAAAACAAAAAAAAGTGTCATTTTATGGTTAAACATTGTAAAGTAAAAAAAAAATCCTTTTAAAAAATACTAATTATTGGTGTTATTTTACTAGATATTATTTATTATTCATCAAACTGGTCAAATCTGTAAGAAACAACTTTTTAAAAAACACTTTTAAAGTATAAAGCTGTTAATTTTTTTTTACAGTGTAGCTATGGCGTCCTGCTCTCCATGACTTGTGTGGGCGATGAGGGAAATAACAATCTGCTGTTTCTCTCTTTTTCATTGAGCTTTTCTTTACATTGCCTCATTTTTAGGATATTATGAGACATTCATTAAACTCATTTTTCATCTTTGTAGGTATTTTGGACGTCTGGCATCATGTGAAGCTTGTAAAAAGTTTTTTAAAGTGTAATTTTTCTAATTAAACACCAACTTTGCTCTTTTGTGTACTGTATGTTGTGACTTTTGCAGTAGCTTCCATTTTATCCTGAGAAGTGTCACCTGTTCATTTAAGGTCTGCTTTGCTGACACATCGCTGTCTCCATGCAGTCGTATAAGAGGAATAATAAGTTCACTCCTGCATGCTGAAGCTATAATCTAAATCTAATTATTCTCCTGTTTCTGTTTTGTCTCTCTGTTCTCCTGCCGGGACTCGCCCCCTGTCCTGCAGTCCCTTATCTTCGATGAAGTCGACCTTTCGGACGCCAGCGTTGCAGAATCCAGCACAAAGAATGTCAACAACAGCTTCACAGTGAGTGCATCTTGCAGCGTTTCCACACCCACTCAGAAACACTGTGGGTCACACAGAGGCACGTGTTGAACAATGAGACTGAGTGTGTCGCCTCAGCATCAGCTCTGCAGGCTGCACGGCTGTACTGCAGCGGTGGGATGCTCGAGTCTGGAGGCTGGGGCGCTTATATAAGAAATTAACGACTGGTACACTGTACAAAAAAAAAAATCTGTTTTTTTAAAAACAGTTTTTAGTAAATTTCAGCACATTTTATGAAAAATTATTTACAGTCATTGTACTGATTAACTAATCCTAAAAAAACAAAACTAAAATTATAAAAAGTTTTATATGATTAAAATGTTTGATCGTAAAATTCCACACTTTACTGTATTGTAATAGCTGTTTAAAAAAAAGAATGTTTTCTCTCTCTCTTTTTTTTTTTTTTACCAGTTTCAAACTTTTTTTTTTTAGCAATTCCCTCTGTTTAACTGATTTTCTCAGTTTTGTTAAATTACAAATAATATCTCGTAATTTCTTTTTCATTTATCTACATGTTAATAATTAAAACAAGAGAATGAACAGCCAATGAAGTCCACACCAATAATTAGTATTTTTATAAAGGGAATTTCCGTCTTTCATAATGTTTAACTGTGAAATGATAAGATTTTGTGCTGTATTTAAATCATGTTGAATACATTATTTAAAAAAAAAAAGTATATTAAGAACTGAATTAATAATTCACAACAAAAAGAGAAATAATAATTAATAATTAATAACGAATATATGTATGTATGTATGTATATATATATATATATATATTGTTAGCTCACAGATAATAGCCAGTGAAATCACCGATAAAAGTAATAATAATTTTCATGTTGACTGCAAAATAAAATAAAAATAATTTTAAAAAAACAAACAAAAAAAACAACAACACATCAAAACTTTAATAATGTCCACATCAATGTCTTTTTTTTGGAAATGTTTGGCTGTCCAATTCCATTAAAATAAAAAATAAAATCACTGATATTTACCATAATTTTAAAGAAAAACTGTGGACATTAAGATTTTTTTTTTTAATAACATCTAAAATACAACAAAAAATATTGATTAACATGCTCACTAAATTCAGTCAAACAATTTTTCTAATCAATTAACTGGTAAATGTAAGAAAATTGAGAAATTTTCAAGAAAAAAAAACCCAAAAACATCGAAACTCCTTTATGACAGTAAACTGAATATCGTTAGGTTGTGGACAAAATATTTTCCATCACTGATTTTCTGACATTTTTCAGACCAAACACCTCGATTAATTAACCTTTAATTACTTTATCCAGTGACTTAATATCATTAATAATATTATTATTAGTCAGAGTTTGGTTTCCATGAAATCAAGATTTGCCCTTCAAGGATGGTGATTCCCCTGAAAACGCCGTCCTGGTTCTATAAACAGCTGTTCTATTTACTGCTTCTTCTGCTTTTGCTGCTCGTCACATCCACAAACGACGCTGCTGTGAATGAAGGCTTGTTCAGGGAGACGAGGTGAACGTGGGAGGACACAGGGAGACGAACACAAGAGCGTGATGATGAGGATGAAAACAGAAGGAGCTCGTAGTGGCCCGTCCTTTCTATAAATGTCTCCCCGCTGGTTGCTATAATAAGAAACAGGCTGGAGGAGAACACGAGGCTATTTTTAGCCACCGTCTTGAAACGCTCCACTGAGTGCCTGGATCGGATTAACGTCTGAACATATTCATAAATGAGATCGGCTGCTGCTGCTGCTGCTGCTGCTGCATGTGTGTGTGTGTGCAAGAGATTTCAGAAAAGGGAAGTTGGCAAAAGCAGAAATGCATAATGAATGAGGAGGAGGAGGAGGAGGGGGACGGCTGCAGGGTGAGATGACGCAGAAAAGAGTGTGCAGCGGAGGAAATCCTGGAGTGATGTCACAAGGACTGAACGCTGCCTGGCTGGAGGAGGAGGAGGAGGCGAGTTAGAGCTCCGAGGACGGACACGGAGGGGGGCATCCGAGACGTGGAGAAGCAGCGAAGGTAACGCTGAATGTTGCTTCACCCGCAGCTGCTGCGGAGTCACGAACACCGACAGCAGCTTCACAAACCAGAGAGAGAGGGAGAGAGGGGAGATCGCTGCTGCACAGGAGGCATTGCAGAGTCTTTGCTGAGTCTGTTGTCTGTCTGTCCTGTTGTTTTCTGTCTGTCCGCTTCCCCTGAGGATGAGTGATGCTGCTGGCTTCCTCTATGCAGGTTGGTGTCGCTTGTTTGGGTAGTTTGATGTGTGCAGATGCTTCACCCAGAATGAATGACAGTGTTTTGTTCCTCTGCAGTGCATTGAAGGCAATTGTGTAGGTGCTATAAATTCATTATCTGAGACTGTAAACATGCACAGGAGTGAAAAAAAATGCAGCAAATGTGATGCACGAGCCATGTTTGTGGGGGTAAAGCAGAGGATGCACGTCTCGCTCGCTCTGTGTGCGTTTTGTGTTCAAAGTGCGTGTGGCCGGTCGTGCAGTGTCGCGCTGTTTGAATGCACGATGAGGCTGCTGTTGTAGCGCAGAGCGGCAGCACCTTGAGGTCCACGTGAGGGACTCGGCTCAGCCCAACCCGACACCTAAACTGGATGCAGACTGGGCAGCAGCGACCGCCTCTCCCGCTGGATCGCTGCTGCTCATTGGATCGACTCCCTCATTACGGCCCGCCATGAATACATGACATGAATCTTAAGGAAAATTCACAGCAGCTCTCGTGTTGTGGCTCTGGTTTGTTGTGTGGTTGATGTGTTTTAAGGCGAGATGTGTTCAGAGGAATGGAAAGAAAATATTAAGAATATACATGTAGGTGTTTATTTTACTGCACTTTGTCTGTTTGCTTCAGTCAATTATCATATATATCATATTATATTTTTAACCCTCTGAGTCCCAAAACCCATCAGGAGGTTTGAAAGACATTTGATCTCACAACATTGTTCACATTACAAATGAATCAAAGCCAGAAACTGTCAAATCAGACGAACTCTATGGTGTTTAGACTAAGCATGTTTGATATAAATCAGGAAAATTAGCCTAATTTAACTTTAAAATGATGACAAATCATTTTTTTTCTACATGTCTCATTCAACAATTTACCTAAAATGAACAGTTTCCATTTGATTCCTAAAAAAAAAAAACACCAACCAAAAAGTCATTCAGCTGCAAGCAACAGTCATCCATCCATTATCTATACACACCTTAATCCTCACTTGGCTCTCAGGGGGCCTGGAGTCTATCCCAGCTGAATTAGGGTGAAGGCACCGGGACGCGAACCGGTGACCTCCTTGCTGCGAGGCAACGGTGCTAACCACCAAGCCACCATGTAACTCAAGCAACAGTCACATAACAAAAATGTGTGGACTTCTCAGCTGAATTGCAGGCTGTGTAGAGTAGTATAATCACAAATTCGGCGTGAGATTGAGAGTAAAGTAAAACAAACTTGATCAGTACAATAAATGCAGCATGGCTCAACAACTGTATACAGAGGAGCAGGTTGCTAGAAGGTACATTCAGCATGATGAGACATCTTTCTACAGTTAATGTACAGAGTCGTGGGAAAAACAGCAAGTCTGTAGAGACTGTAAAGATGCAAGAAGTCAAATATCTACATTAGCCACTGTTTCTTTTGTACTGGTAGCACCTTTGGATATTTGGATTCGAGAGTTAAATTTTATTTTACAGAATCTGTGTGGAATGAGCTGGAATGAGTCTGTTTTTAACATGAGACACGTAGATAATCAGTCATTTTGATGAAGATTTGATTAACAAAACTTTAAAAAACCTGAAAATTCTTTGTATCTGATTGTAAAATAGGTTGTAATTTTTGCAAGGTTTAAAACATCAGCCGCCTCAAACCCACTGGTCAGTTTGAAGGTGTAGATAGTTTAACAGAAATCTTCTACTACAAAAGAGCATTTTCTTATGGTAAGAAATCAACTAGAATAACTTTGTGTTGGTACCTGCTAGTTAAAAATGTTCCTCTGTTCATCTGTAGTGTCTTCCCTGCAGCACCATGTGTCTGAGGGACACTTAGACGAGTCCATTAGATTAATAAAAGTAATAAATGTGCTGGTGTGCTTCAATACCGTGTGCTATCTTAACTTTTATAGTGTAATTAAATATAACACATGCAAACATTTGCAAATACGTCACTAAGAATCTATTATTAGACCGATCAGACCTCGTTATCAGACCCAACATTTGTGATTTTGTGCACAAAAAAAAATGAATAAAATGACAATTGTGGAAGAAATGATGCCTCGCTGGTGTGTTTAGCAAACAGATTACTATCCACAGAAACACATCTGTCAGGTTTTAAAGCTATACAGAAAAAAAAGAAACCAAAAACAATCACATTACAGAACTGTCCGGTTAGACTGAAGCTGTTTTTTTTAATGTGCACTCACATTCTGACAATCAATTAAAATAGAGTGTGTGTGTTCATAATTGTAGCTTAAATGAAGATTGAACACAAAGGTTTGCTTGTTTAGCCACATGTCTGTCTGTATTAACCCACAGCAGGGCCCAAGAGGTACAATATACAACTAGACCTTCTCGTATCTTTAGTTTCAACATGTCAGAGTTTAGTAACATGGATGGTTTTTATTCATCATGGTGGCCTAAATGAAAATGAAACCACATTTAAACACAAATGTAGATTTTAAGTGCTTCAGACGGTTCGCTCCTCGTGCCTCATCTGTATTAACCCACATTAACCCACACTAGCTTAAAAGAAGATTGAACCCTGTTGTTAGGTTGTTCACCTGCAGTGTTTCTCCTGAAGCAAACATGTGTGTTGTTGCTGCTGCAGCTCCCAGAGCTCCTGAGCTTCCTTCGTTATCGCTCCATCTTTGGTTTCCAGCTCAACCAAAACAACTAATGACTCGACCTGCTTTCTCCTGTCATTCCACCGACTCTGACCTGATGCGTTCGCGGCTGAAGGCCAGTCATCAGCGGAGGTTTTCCGCGCTTGAGGGATGCCTTCGAGTCATTTTTGGAAACAGCCGCTCCTGTTTCCCCTGGCAACCACCCTTATCCTTATGGCTACCCCACTCCAGACACAGCACACTGCATCTATGTCCAAAGGGATCAATTTGCCTCTCGACTACACGCCGATTATTACAGAAGCTGTTTTGTGATCAGAGGCAGAGAAAAACATGGAATTCTCAGCAGAGCAATGAGCGGATTCATGTGAACACAGTCTGCCAAACGCTCCCAGTAATTTGTTGGTTGTTGTCGTCACTTAAAAAAGGAGGAAGAACGCTAACGTGATTAGCTTTAATGTGAAACGAGGGCAACCAAAGTCCATGCAGCCGCGAATCACGGAGAAATTCTCGGATTTTCCTTCTTCTTGTGTAGAGTTCCGTTTGGGTGGATTGATTATTGATTAGAGGTCTTGGGTCAGATTGATTACAACAGTGATTAAGGTGATTGATCAGGCTTTACGGGTGCAGCTTACAGGTTTCCCTCCGCTGTAATTAATCTGCTGTTGAAGCCTTGAATGCAAGTGACGTGTTTTTGTGTTTTGTTTTATTTCGAGATGTCTTCATTCAGCTCTTATCTCAGATCATAGTAACCTTGATCTTTAAGTAGCATCGAAATCATTACAGTGGTGGCAGGAAAATGAAAGAAGCGGTTTTGAGATTGGTCGATGTCAGACTTTTTGCAGCCTCTGTTTAATTTTTCTTTTTTTTTTCTACTGCAAGAACTTATATTGAGGATTACCAAATACATTTTATTTATGAAACAACCAACGTGCTGTACATGTCACCAGTCTGACAGCGAAAACTTATAAAATCAAGCAGTAAAACAAAATAGAACTGTGTAAAATACTAAAACAGACAAAAGAGTAACGCAACTTGTAAGATCAATTACTAAAATGAAAAAAAAGAAAAATTAAGAGCCACCAAAAGTCACTGAAAACATCTACATCTTTATTTTTTCTGGAAAGGTTTGAAGAATTAGTCACTAATAACAAATACTTTAACATGAAAACATAAAAGGAGGATTTTTGAGAGGAACTCGGAACAGGTTTAGATGAACTTTTCTTTCGCTTTCAGCCTTTCTGTCAAATATACATGTGCTGGTGTCCTTCCAAATTTTCCTTATAAAGAATTTCAAGGATCAAGAATTTCCATTATTCTGTCTTAACTTAATTAAGCTTAGCTTAATTGAGTTTAACTTAACTTAGCCTAGCTCTCTAAACATAACGTTTACAGTACAATTGATTAAAACACCAGCAAACATCTGCAAATGTCTCATCCCAGTCGGTACCACATCAACGTTTTAAAAACTTTTTGTGCATGAAAAGTGACCTAAATGACAATTATTGAAGAAATGGTGCTTTAAAAGAGCACATAGGAACATTGCTGGTTTGTTTTCCTCCCTCAGAAACACATCTGTCAGTTTTAAAAGGTGTAAACACAATGAAACATAAGGTTCAACCCAGACAACTATCAGATTCCAAAACTTTTAGACCAGAGTTAAAATAGATTGTGTTTGTTCAAAAGTGCAGCTTGAATGAAGACTGAACCAAACTTCAACACAAATAAATTCAGATACTTTCAGAGGGTTTGCTTGTTTATGTCTGTATGTATTAACCCACAGCCAAAATATAGCACTAGACGTTCACAGATCTTTAGGTTTAGCATGTCAGGTTTAGTTTAGTCGTTTAAAGACGGCCTCTGAACAACACAACCTGCTGAGTATCGAGTTCTGTCTGTCGGCAACATGTGTCTGTCAAGCAGATGGCGGCTGCAACAGTAGCTTCATGCAGAAAGAAAAGCAGCGATGCAGCAGATGTAGCTCAAACACACACACACACACACACACACACACACACACAGGTATATAGGCTTATTCACACCACACACACTGGCAGTGACGCGGGTGTTTGTTGTGCACCTGCTGTTTTTCCACACCTGGTTGAAGCCTCAGCTGCTTCTTCATTCTTTATCGACCGCAAAACAGGTGCAATTCAGGAAAAGCCTGGAAAATCAGAAGAACCAGATGAGTTGAAACGAGATAAACTTTATTAATCTCAAAGAACAAAAACAAAATAACAAAAGAAATTCAGAGCCTAAAAAATTATAAAGCAATAAGGAATAAGTGTGATTCGTTACTGAAATAAAATAAGTTGCTAGAATAAGGCTAGAAAGCAACGCTGGCAATTTCTGAGGTAGAAAGTCAAAACACAGATGAAAATGAAATGAAAAATTAGATAAAAGTAAAAGTTTGTGGTCATTTTACATCTTTATCGTGGTTTTTGTTCCATGTTAATAGTTTTGCATCCCCTTGAACAGTTATTTCATTTTTCTGTCACTGTTACCGCCCAGATTGTTCATTTTTGGCTCATAGAAATGGATAAAGAAAAATATACAGGAAAGAAATAGAAATTCAACAAACATAGGTGTCTACTGCAGCAAAATGCACCCAAACTGTAATATGTGGATCAAAGCAGGTGGAAAATGAGGCTGTTTTATCAGACACAAAGTGAAACGGTGAGCGAGAGAGATGTGATGAGGCGACAACGTCTGTCCTCAGTAAGCCATGATGAAAACTCTGCAGTGACGAGTATAGGAGGCAATTAAAGTAATTAAATGTAGAGGAAATGAAAATTTGCATGAGGGGTCACCTTGGAGAGATCAGAGAGAAATAGCAGCACCTTGGATGTAAAATATAAATCAGACATTAAACAGCTGAAGATGCATTCTGGTGTGAAAAAAAATGTTACAGAGGACTGATAGATTTGTAGGAATGATCGAAATTTAGATTTTAAAGGGTCCAAATCTATTCAATATCGCATCTCTCGGCATCTCATGTAGGCCGTTGTAGTTATTACTGACATTAAAAGAAGCACAGCTCTCCATCTGCCGGTCAATCTGTGTTCCAACCAAAAATCCATAATTTTACTCCCGTGACTTTTAAAATACACAAAGATATCATTATAAATGGACGAGAAATTTAAATGTCTAGTGTGAAATAACATTAAAAAAAATCATTGTAAATGAGTAAAAAAAGTAAATAAACAATCAAATAACAAATAAATAAATGAATAATGGGCATATAAAGAACATTTTCATGTATCCAGTTTTTTGTTATTAGATAAAATAAAGTTTCATCCTGTAAATATTTTTCACAAAGTAGATCAAATTTATGACAATTAGCAGAAGAAGTATGAGTTTTGTAATTTTACAAAGATTCATATGTGTAACAATGATATGTTGTATAATTACTCATGTTTTCTCTACAAAAAGATTTTTCGATTTTTTTTATTTTTATTTTTTTAAATTTAACAGTCAAATATTGTAGAAGGACAAATTACTATTTAGAAAAATAAAGATTTTTGATGTGGATGCTTTGGACAGTTTCTGTGATTCCACTAATTATTTATAATTCAGCAAAATAGGAAAAATCTGTAAAATAACAGTTGAATTTTTTATTTTATTTTTTTACTGCAAGTATTTGTACATTTCGATATTGTTTTACATTAAAAGATTAAATCAATTTACTTCAAATGTTATAAAAGAAAAAAATCTATTTAGAAAAATACATATTTTGGTTGTGGACATTATTTACAGTTTTGGTCTGTTGTTTTTGTTTCTTAGTTTTTTTGTTTTTTGTTTTTTTTTACAGTCAACATGTAATTTATTATTTTTTGTGTGTGTGTGATTTTACTGGTTATTTGTAATTTAGAAAAACAGGAAAAAATCCGCAAAATATCTGTGAAAATATTTTTAAAAACAGAAATTATTTGTAAATTTACAATATTGTTTTACAGGAAGCAAAAAAAGGGTAAATCTATGGTCAAACATTGTAAACTGACAAATTACTATTTGTTAAAATATAGATTTTGGACAGTATTGGGCTGTTTCTTTTATGATCAACGTGTTAATTAATAGTTTTTCTTCATGATTTCATGAGTTATTATCTGTAAGTTTGTAAAATAACAGTAAAGTGTTTAAAATATTACAGGTGAAAATCTGCAGTGCAGTGTTAGTACATAATATTCTTTCACAGTAAAAAAGAAAAAAAAGAAAATTAAAAAAAGTGTAAATTTATGGCCAAACATTGAAAAAAAGACAAATGACTATTTGTCAAAATACTAATTAGTACGTAAAAGCTTTTGACAGTTCTAGTATTTTTTATATGGCTGTTAATGCATAATTTAAAAAACAAACAAACAAAAAACATTAAATCAGACATTATGCTTAAAAATGTTCAGCTTTTACAGCATTAGTGTTGTTTTTTATTTCTTCTTTAAATCCATTCCTTTCTTTTTTTTCTACAACCCTTTTCAAAACTTTGCTTTAAATCCGTCTGACAGTTGATGGAAACCTGGTTATTGTGTCTCGTGTGTCTAATCGTGTCTAATGTGATCGGACACGAGATGCGGACACGACGGGCTGGAAAGAAAGAAGAGATGAAGGAGCATAAATAAGTGATGGCGGCGTTGAAAGGGTGCAGAGTGTCTGTAGGCTTTTCTACAGGGACTGTCCTTTAAACACACATATACATGCGGAGAGGAAGCAGGCTCTCAGCTTCGCCTGTCAGCGCACATCTTCCTCACAGCATCATGAAGACGAGCAGAGAGGAGGGGAGGATAGAAACGCCGTAGAAAACTCAGGAAGGTGTGAGAGAGCTTCAGTTAATGAGAGAGAGAGAGAGAGAGAGAGAGAGACAAAGAGGGAGGGGGCTCCTCGTCGCTTTATCCTCGAAGCCGATCGCTGTTTTCCTCTCAGAGCCACCGCAGGCTGAAGGAGGTTTATCCGTCTTTTCAGCATCACTGTAACAGAACCTCCTCTCTCTTCCCGGCAGGTCATCACTCCGTTCCGTAGGCTCATCCTCTGCGCCGAGAACAGGAAAGAGATGGAGGACTGGATCAGTTCGCTGAAGTCCGTCCAGTCCAGAGAGCACTACGAGGTAAGAGACCCCTGAAGGAGCACATTTTACAGTTTGCATGTGTGGCAGAGGAAAGAGGAAGACAGGCAGCTGCAGCGACAATAGAGATCAAACGAATTGAACTGGAGATTTGGACAGAAATGATCAGATGTGTGGTTGGATCAGGATGAAAGCTGCATGTTCGGTGGCTCCCAAGTTTCTGTGCTGAGATTTGGGAGCCCCAGATCACATGCGGAGGCACGAATCGACCCACATGTAGCTGCAGAGACAAAAAAAACCATCCCAACCAATAAAAACATCCAAACCTGCAGGAGCTCAGTTCCTTTTAACCCATTTTCACTCTCCAGATCACACAAAAACACAACTGTTGACTTTTGGTTTTTGTAAATATCCCACCTTTAAATCCAGCAGCACCGGTCTGTGGCAGAGGGCTGCTGCATTTTAATGTCTTTGATTTGAAGAGGGGAAATCTTATATAAGACCCCATCCCTCACCCCCTTTACTGCACCGCACTGCAGCAGCAGCAGCAACCCCACAGCTCACAACACGCACAAGACGTCAACACAACAGCATTTAATTACTGTCCTTTTGTGCCACTGTTTGGACGCCAGTGTCCCAGTTTTACAAGCACCTGTTACAATTACGAAACCCATCCGAAGGGCTGCGCCAACTGCTGCAGACGCAACGCCCACACTGGCAGCAGCTCCACACTGGGCTCGCCTCGTACGTTTTCCTGACCAGGTGGAGTTTCTGTCAAATCACAGACTAACGAGTGCCAGCGAGCGGAGGGGTTCTCCCGCTGGGCTCTTTTCCGACAGCTCCAGGCGAAGTTATCAGGAGGTTTCCAACAGAGCAGCGAGAAAAAAAAGTGAATTATGAGGGAAAGCTAGCCCTGAAAAAGGTGTTGAATGTCAATATTTAGCATTTGTAAATGTCATTTTTCATGCAAACCTGCAGTACATTGTGTATTCTGTGTTGCCTTTCTGTGGCTGCCAACCTGTTTTAACTTCTCCTTCGCCAGACGGCACAGTTTAATGTGGAACATTTCTCAGGGATGCACAACTGGTACGCCTGCTCCCATGCACGGCCCACCTTTTGCAACGTCTGTAAAGATAGCTTGTCTGGGGTCACGTCTCACGGCCTCTCCTGCGAAGGTAAGAAACACTGTCGCGCACAGCACTGCACATGCTCACTGGTGAATGTCAAGAGTTCATTTCAATCTGGTGGATTTCCCTTCAGGTGGCCCTACAGCTCGTCCAAACTCTGTAGCCTCCGCATAGAGATTCAGGCAAGCAAAGTGTGCTAGTGGAGAAAAAAAGCACTTTTACATGTTTATTAAGTTTTAAAATGTTCTGTTGTGTTTGTCTGATTCGACAATCTGGGAGCGAAATGTTGCGGTTCTGACGACTCCAAAGCGTCTGTTTACAATTGTTTAAGATGACTTTGATTATTTTGCAAAATCCATAGATTTGGTTCCGTTCACCTGCGTAGAAGCAGCCAGAAGAAGTGTTTGAATCAATATGTCAGCATCATTTTCCAGTGTTTTCTTCTTTCATGGCAACAACTATTTGTCTCAAACCTCATGTATTCAACCGACTGTAGCTCACTGAGCATCTATTGATGTTAAAGTCGTGGGTTGAGTTGCTCGGAGAAACTAGGAACCACCTTATTGCATTTGCTACAATAATAAATAAAATAACATGAACAGAAAAACATTTAAATTGTTCATTGCACCTAAAATTCCCAGAGACGTACAGTTCCACCACCTGTCCTCCTGCACTCCATCTCACAACTCGAGTGTTTTGAAGCTACAAGATGCACAAAATCCTCCCTTTGTTGACTAAACACATACGTAGCTCCTCCATATTTTTGTTAGAGTTTAGAGTCTGTCTTTATCGTGCAGCAGCTGTAGAAAACTTTATTCTTAAACGGACGTGAGAGGAGCTCGGGGTGGAGTCTCTGCTGAGCTAGTTGCTAGGTGGCTTCCTTTGGAGGTTTTCTGGAGACTTTAGAAGTTGCCAGAGAGTTTACGTATCGTGTCTTGCCTGGGAACGTCTTGAAATATCCCTGGACAAGCTGAAAAAGCGTTGCTGATGATAGGAACTAGAATGAGGATGGGCAGATTCTTGCAATCCAGAAACGTGCATGAACCATTTTATCTCTTTGTCAACAACCTGTGCAGCACAGACAGCTGCTAACCAAAGCCTCACACGTGTAAGCAAAGCAGAATGTGCAGATGAATTTGCAGGTTGAGTCGGTCAGTTGGCCAAAATGTTCACTTTCAACTAAACTCCAAATCAAACCTGTGTAATAATTTATGTAAAAGTCTGTACTTCTTGTCGCGGCATGCGTCGACATTTTGTGCTTGTGCTTCTTGCTCGGCCAAATCTCTACAACAAACAGCCACAATAACCGCATTAATGGGAAACACGCCAGTTTGAAATGAGCCAAAGCTACTTGTTTTTTTGGAAACGCAGTGTTTTCTTACATAACTGCCTCGAATCTGTTGACTTTTTGAAGCAGCTCTCACTCCGTTTCTGCATCTCATTACCGGCTCGTACTGCAGATAAAACTCTCATCTCTGTGTTTTAAAGTCGATTTGGACCTGCGGAGCCGGAGAGCTGGCAGGTCTGTGGGCACTTTGGGAAGGTGTGCGACTGCGTTACATAACAACTTATGAGTCATTGATGTGAGAAGTTTTTCTGTTTTTAACGAATGTCCGTCCAAGCGGAGCAGATCGGCCGCGGCCCATCGAACTATTAAAGTAGAAGGAGTGAAAAGAGCGAGCAGGCTTTAATGCGACGCCACCATGTGACCGCATCCATATGCTTTTAAGTCATATTGTGTGTTAGATAAGCGTTGACTCACACTAGCTTTTCTCAGCGTTTCTCCGTTTGCCCTTAAGAGGGAATAAAGTGTGAAGGGATCTCGCGAATGACGCCACCTCATCTGTGAAAGAACAGCGAGGTGTGGCGTTAGGGGAAGGCGCTCGACGGCGTTCTTTGCATCTTTTCGTCGGCACCATCTGCATATCCTGGTGTCCTGATTTTGCTAATGTTCCCCTGCGAGTGTGTGCATGTGTGTTTCAGCCGATGCATGTGTGGTCGGCTTGGTGTGAAGGCAGTAAGAGCCTCTCCACTCAGAGCTCATTATCCTCTACAGCGAGGCCTCTCATATCCACAGCACAGAGGGCTGGAGGGAGGGGACTCATTAGAGGGATATCTGGCTGTTGTCATCTAAATCAGTAGCAACAATAGGAGGATGCAGTGTGGGATTGTAGGACCTTCATCAAAAGCTGGATTGAGCAGGTAATGGAAGCACGCTCACCTCTAGAGTTGGTTTGTTCACTCGTAACCCTCCCAATCCCAGAAAGACTTGTTATATTTTTAAAGAATCACCAGAATTCACACCATTTATCAGCCAGAAACTGTAAAATCAGAACAAATTGTCAGATTTTCAACTTTCCGATGGTCAAAAATTGAACTCCTCACAGGTGACAGCAGGAAAATTGAGCAAATCTAAGCTTAAAATCATCAAAGTTCATCAACATTGCTTCAGTCAAAATGTAAAAATTCACCAAAAACAAACTCGTTGCTTTAATAAGATTATGTAATAACTAAAAACTGTAAGCTTCCCAGTGCAACCACTGAGCCATGAATGACTCAGCTGTGACCAAAAGTCACATGGCAAAAGTTCTGAGAGTTTTGGACTGAACTGCCGGCTGGGTTTTCACAGAGGAGACGACAAGAGACACGAAGAGAAAAATAAAACATACAAGATCAATAAAATTAATGTATCATGGCTCAAAAACAGTATATAGATGAGTAAGTCGTTGGAAGATTTTCAGCTTTCTAATGGTCCGTGCACTCATCAGTTAAGTTGAGAAGATTAACAAAATCCAAGCTTAAAATGACAACATTTCATCAAAGTCACTTTACTTTACACACCAAAAATCAACCAGATTCTGCGAAAAACTAGAAGTCCAAATTCAGTGCTTTTCGACTGAACTGCAGGCAGCGTCTACACAGTAGAGAGAGGCTGAAAGGGAAATAAAATTAGATTTGAGCGTTAAAATGAATGCAGCATGGCTAAAAAAAAACGGTGTACAGATGAATAAGTTGTTGGAAGATACATTCAGCCTGATGGTGAAACATGTTTCTGGACTTGATGTACCGAGTTTGTAGAGGTTGACAAAACATGTAAGTTCTAAAGCAGGGGTGCTTTAGAACTTAAAGCGTGCTTCTGGTCCTCGAGAGCCCGTATCCAGCATGTTTTAGATGTTTCCTTCTTCCAACACACCTGATTCAAATGATCAGGATCGTTATCAGGCTTCTGCAGCGCTTGATGATGAGCCGATCATTTGAATCAGGTGTGTTAGAAGAGGGAAACATCTAAAACATGCTGGATAGGGGCTCTCGAGGACCAGGATTGGGCACCCCTGTTCTAAAGTATCTGCAGAATGCGACATCAACCAGTTGGTTCCAGTGTTGCTAACACCTGGGGGCATTTGGAAAAATGTTGTACATGTTGATTCCTTTTTTTTTTTCAATTTTTTTGGCAAATAATTAATCAAAAAAATACAACTTTCATTTTTCTTTTTAAATGACTTTGGTATTAAACTGCACATAAGTAATTTCCATAGAGATGCAGAACTTTATGTTGAAGTGAACAATGTGTGAGTAAAAATATGACAGGGGGCTGCAAAGTGGCTCAGGGGTTAGCCTCACAGCAAGAAGGTCGCCGGTTCGCGTCCCGGTGAGGACACCCGGGATCTTTCTGCGTGGAGTTTGCATGTTCTCCCCGTGCAGCGTGGGTTCTCTCCAGGTTCTCCGGCTTCCTCCCACACAGTCCAAAAACATGTTGAGGTTAATTGGTGATTCTAAATTGTCTGTAGGTGTGAATGTGAGTGTGCTTGGTTGTCTGTCTCTAAGTGTGGCCCTGTGATAGACTGGTGACCTGTCCAGAGTGTCCCCTGCCTTCACCCTGAGTCAGCTGGGATAGACTCCAGCCCCCCATGACCCTAGTGAGGATTAAGCGGTGTATAGATAATGGATGGATGGAAATATGACAGGGGCAAAAAACCTGGTAAAGACTTCATGTTTTCAGACTACATATGCACTGAATGGTTCTGTGCTGATAGTTATTTGGCAATTTTTAAAGGTGACATGTAGAAAAAAGAGTTTGTTTTTTTTTTTTAAATGAAATATCATAACTTCAGAAATTAAAAACGAGCCCTGACAGGAGTGACTTGGCACTTCAAAGCACTAAAACCTCATCCGGCCAAATATTTAAACTGCGATTGCACTTACATGCACCAACCTTTCCAGCTATCTTCCTGTCTTTATTTGGAAGTTTTTTCCAGAGGTGTTTATTCATATTCATCCCTAAAAGTCTGATTTACAGAACATGTTACTCCTACAAACAAGGCGAGCCCGGGAACTGCTTGGATCGTTGGTTTAAAGCATGTAAGAGCCAACAAGTAAAATAATAAACCTGTAAATGAGCAACACATGGGCCCTTAGATCAAACTATAGATCCATGTTGAGCACATACGCTGTCCAGTTGATTGCTGCTGATGCTTTACAGGCAAATCAAAGAGAAGTGGAGGATGCAGCAGAGAGAGGCGTCTCTATTAAACTTCCAGAGCCAAACAGTTTCACAGCAATCAAACGCGGCTTAAATTTCCCTTCGATTTCCTGCAGGACGGTCAGCGGCCATCGATCTGTGCTGCAAACACACAAACGCACACAAACAGACACACACCGTGCTGCCTCTCTGTCTCGGTTTTCAGTCCTAGACGCGGTGTTTCCTTCCAGTCTGGCTGCCGAAACGCTCGGCCATTAACAGGCAGCCGGATCACGTCCTCCGAGTTCTGCTAATGTTCTGCTAATGCTCTCTAACAGCATTTAGCGGTGCACGAGATTGAAGCATTGATTGTTGCTCCCGGATATGATAGTTTGTAGTATATCTGCCTAATGACGGTGTTGTGTGTGTGTGTGTGTGTGTGTTGTGTGTGTGAGTTGGACTCGGCTGGAAAGCAACGTTCCCCAGAGTGCAGACATTATTCATGAGCCCGCTAAGTGCTTCATCTGTAGCGGAGGAACAAGTCGCCTCCATCCGTCTGCACATCTTCGTAAAAAAAAAAATGTTCCTGCTGCATTTACATTTGGCTCCCGTTCGCCGTTCAGAGCAGCAGAGCATTAAGCACATTAGAGTCGAGGCTCGTCGTCCTCCGGCGAACACGAAGAACCTCCATAGATGTTACGTAACAGGACGGACTGTAAAGTTTTAAAAGTCAGGAGCAGTTTTAACTCCGGCTGAAGTTGGAATGTAACTGAGTACATTTACTCAAGTAGTTCAGCACAGTTTTGATGCACGTCACTGAAGTATTTCCATGTTGTGATACTTTCTGCTTCTACTCCACAATATTTTAGAGGCAAATATTGTAGGAACTGACCCTCTGCATTGATTAAAAATTTTAGTTACCAACTCTTTTGAGAGATTATGATATGAAATCTGTTCTCCCCGTGCAGTGTGGGTTCTCTCTGGGTTCTCCGGCTTCCTCCCACACAGTCCAAAAACATGTTGAGGTTAATTGGTGATTCTAAATTGTCTATAGGTGTGAATGT